TAGCCAGATTGATTAAAAAGAAAAGAGAGAACAACCAAATAGATGCAATAAAAATGATAAAGGGGAAATCACCACAGATTCCACAGAAATTCAAAGCATCATCAGAGAATATTACAAACAACTCTATGCACATAAACTAGTAACCCTGTAAGAAATGGATAAATTTCTGGACTCCTGTGTCCTCCCGAGCCTAAACCAGGAGGAAGCTGTAACTATAAATAGACCAATAACAAGGTCAGAAGTCAAGGCAAAATTAAGAGCCTACCACACAAAAAAAGCCCAGGTACAGATGGGTTCACAGCCGAATTCTACCAGACACACAAAGAGGAGCTGGTACCATTCCTTCTGAAACTATTCCAAATAATCCAAAAAGAGGGAATCCTTCCCAAATCATTTTATGAGGCCAATATCATCCTGATACCAAAACCCGACAGAGACCCAACAAGAAAAGAAAACTTCAGTACAATGTTTATGATGAACATAGATGCAAAAATCTTCAATAAAATATTCGCAAGCTGATTGCAACAGCAAATCAAAAAACTCATCCATCATGATCAAGTAGGATTTATCCTGGGGATGCAAGTCTGGTTCAACATAACACAAGTCTATCAACATAATTCACCACATAAACAGAACCAAAAACAAAAATCACATGATTATCTCAATTGATGCAGAGAAGGCAATCGACAAAATTCAAGAGCCCTTTATACTAAAAACCCTCAATAAACTCGGTATCGATGGAATATATCTCAAAGTAATAAAAACTATTTATGACAAACCAACAGCCAGTATTATACCGAATGGGCAAAAACTGGAAGCATTCCCTTTGAAATCTGGGACTAGACAAGGATGCCCTCTTTCACCACTCCTATTCAATATAGTACTGGACGTTCTAGCCAGAGCAACTGGGCAAGGAAAAAGAAATAAAGGGTATTCAAATAGGAAAGGTGGAAGCCAAATTGTCTCTATTTGCAGATGACATGATATACCTTGAAGACCCCATCGCCTCAGCCCAAAAACTCCTGAAACTGATAAGCAACTTCAGCAAAGTCTCAGGATATAAAATCAATGTGCAAAAATCACAAGCATTCGTCTACACCAATAACAGACTTAAAGAAAGCCAAATCAAGAACGAACTGCCATTCACAATTGCTACAAAAAGAATAAAATACCTAAGAATACAACTCACAAGGAACAGAAGGGACCTCTTCAAGGAAAACTACAAACCACTGCTCAACGAAATAAGAGAGGACACAAACAGATGGAGAAACATTCCATGTTCGTGGTTAGGAGTAATCAATATCCTGAAAAGGGCTATACTGCCCAAAGTAATTTACAGAATCAATGCTATCCCCATCAAGGTACCATTGACTTTCTTCACAGAACTGGAAAAAACCACCGTGAACTTCATATGGAACCAAAAGAGAGTCCGCATAGCCAAGTCAATTCTAAGCAAAAAGAACACAGCGGGGGGTATCACACTACCGGATTTCAAACTATACTACAAGGCTACAGTAATCAAAACAGCATGGTACTGGTACCAAAACAGAGATATAGATCAATGGAACAAAACAGAGGCATCGGAGGCAACACAACATATCTACAACCATACAATCTTTGATAAACCTGAGAAAAACAAGCAAGGGGAAAGGATTCCCTGTTCAACAAATGGTGTTGGGAAAACTGGCTAGCCATGTGCAGAAAGCAGAAACTGGACCCCTTCCTGACACCTTACACTAAAATTAACTCCAGATGGATTAAAGACTTAAACAGAAGATTTGGCACCATAAAAACCCTAGATGGAAATCTAGGCAAAACCATCCAGGACATAGGAGTAGGCAAGGACTTCATGAACAAAACACCAAAAGCATTGACAACAAAAGCCAAAATAGACAAATGGGACCTAATGAAACTCCACAGCTTCTGCATGGCAAAAGAAACAGTCACTAGCGTGAATCCGCAACCAACAGGATGGGAAAAAATTTTTGCAGTTTACCCATCTGACAAAGGGCTGATATCCAGAATTTACAAAGAACTCAAACAGATTTACAGGTAAAAAACAAACAAGCCCATTCAAAATTGGGCAAAGGATATGAACAGCCACTTTATGAAAGAAGACATAAATGAGGCCAACAATCATATGAAAAAATGCTCATTATCACTGGTCATCAGAGAGATGCAAATCAAAACCACATTGAGATACCGTCTCACGCCAGTTAGAATGGCGATCATTAAAAAATCTGGAGACAACAGATGCTGGAGAGGATGTGGAGAGAAAGGAACACTTTTACACTGTTGGTGGGAGTGTAAATTAGTTCAACCATTGTGGAAGACAGTGTGGCGATTCCTCAAGGCCTTAGAAATAGAAATTTCATTTTACCCAGCAATCCCATTACTGAGTATATATCCAATGGACTATAAATAGTTCTACTATAAGGACACATGCATATGAATGATTATTGCAGCACTGTTTACAATAGCAAAGACCTGGAATCAACCCAAATGCCCATTGCTGATCGACAGGACTGGGAAAATGTGGCACATGTACACCATGGAATATTATGCAGCAATCAGAAATGATGAGTTTGTGTCGTTTGTAGAGACATGGATGAATCTGGAGAACATCATTCTCAGCAAACTGACACAAGAACAGAAAATGAAATACCACATATTCTCACTCATAGGTGGGTGATGAACAATGAGAACACATGGACACAGGGAGGGGAGTACTAAACACTGGGGTTTATTGCAGGGGAAAGGGGAGGGCCAGCGGGAGGGGGAGCTCGGGAGGGATAGCTTGGGGAGAAATGCCTAATGTGGGTGAAGGGGAGAAAGGAAGCAAAACACACTGCCATGTGTGTACCTATGCAAATGTCTTGCATGTTCTGCACATGTACCCCAAAACCTAAAATGCAATAAAATATTTTTAAAAAAAAGAAAATTAAATACGGGAACAACAGACATGAATGACATTATAAAGCAAATGGACTTGACAGACATTTTATTCAACAGCAACAGAATGTACTTTTTTCTCAAGCACACCTAGAACATCTTTCAGGATAGATTATATGTTTAGTCAAAAAACATGTCTCAACAAATTTAAGAAAATTGAAACAATAGAATTATTTCTGACTACAAAAGTATTATACTAGAAATCAATAACAGGAAGAAAATTGAAAAATTTACAAATGTGTGGAAATCAAAACACTCCTAAATAATTAATGAATCTAAAGGAAAATACCTTAAAAGAAAGGAAAATGGTAACACTACATACCACCATGTACAGAATGAATACAGTGAGAAAAAAAAGTACTAAAGGAAGTTTATATCAATAAATGCCCATGTTAAGATAAAAAGAAAGGCCGCAAATAAACCACCTAACTATATACATGAAAGAACTAGAAAAAGAAAAACAAACTAAGCTCAAAATTAGCAGAAGGAGGGAAATAGTAAATATTAGAGCAGAAGTAAATGAAGTTGAGGCTGGAAATATAGAAAAGATCCACAAAATTGCATTTGTTCACGCACTATGATAAAGATATACCTGAGACAGCATAATTCATATAGAAAATGAGTATAATTCACTCATGATTCTACAGGCTGTACAGGAGGCATGGCTAGGGAGGCCTCAGGAAACTTAGAATCATGGTGGAAGGTGAAGCAGAAGCATGCACAATCATCACATGGTAGAGCAGGAGAGAGAGAGCTAAGGGGGAAGTGTAACACACTTCTAAACAACCAGATCTTATGAGAATGAATTCACTATCACAAGAACAACAAGGGAGAAATCAACCCCCATGATCCAATAATCTCCCACCATGCCCCTCCTCCAGCATTGAGGATTATATTTGAACATGAGATCTGAGTGGGGTTACAAAACCAAACTGTATCCGAGATTGAATCAATAATACAAAACCCTTCAACAAAGAAAAGACTGCAACCGGATGGTTTTACTAGTGAATTCCACAAACATTTAAAAAATAATTAATGCCAACACTTTTTAAAGTCTTCCAAAACACTGAAGAGGGTAGAATTCTTCCAAACTCATTTTACCAGGCCAGAATTACAGTGGATATCAAACCACACAAATATTCTACAAGAAAAGACAACCACAGGCCAATATCCCTGATGAACATAGATGTAGAAGTCCTTTTCAAAATCCTAGAATACAACACATTTAAAGGACTATACTCCATGGTCAAGTGGGATTTAACTGTGGAATGTATCTACATATAAAAAACAATGTCATACAACATATGAACAGAATGAAAAATAAAAGCAGATTATCTTAATAGATGCAGAAAAAGAAATTGATGAAATTCAACACCTTCTCATGATAAATATTATCAATAAATTGGATAGAGAAAGAATGTACCTCAACATAACAAAGGCCATATATGAAACACCCACAGAAAACATTATATTAAACAGTGAAAAGCTCAATGCTTTTTCTCTAAGATCAGCAACAAGACAAAGGTTTCCACTCTTACCACTTTTATTCAGCATAGTGCTGTATGTTCCATCCAGAGCAATTAAACAAGAAAAATAAATTAAGACAATCTCATTTGCAGTTGAGATTATATGAAGAAAACCCTAAAGATGCCACCCAAAACTATTATAATTCAATAAAGTCACAGGATATAAAATCAAATTGAAAAATCAATTGTATACATATATCAAAGTACATTGTTATATACCTTAAATTTATATAATTTTTATACATGAATAATTAGATACCCAAAATGCAATTTAAAAAGCAACATCATTTACAGTATCACAAGAAAGAACAAAATACTTCAGAATAAATTTAACTATGAGGTGAAAGATCTGTACACTTAAAAATTATAACACATTGATGAAAGGAACTGAAGAAGACACAAATAAATGAAGATGTCCTATGCTAATGGACTGGAAAGATTAATATTCTTAAAGTATCTATAGTACCCAAAGTGATTACATTCAACTCATTATTTATCAAAATCTTTTCTCATTTTTTGCAGAAACAGAAAAAATCAATTCTGAAATTCATATGGAATTATAACAGGTACAGAATATCCAAAGGAATCTTGAGTAAGAAGAAAGCTGGAGGCATCACAATTCCTGATCTGAAAATATATTACAAAAATAAAGTAATCAAAACTGCATAGTACTACTATGAAGACAGAGTGTAAAAGAATGGAACAGAATAGACAGTGCAGAGGTAATTCTACATATTTATAGTCAAGTGATCTTTGACAGAGTGCCAAAAGCATACAATAGGGGAACAAAAGTATAGTCTCTTCAATTGATAATATTGAGAGAACTGGATATCCATGTGTAAAAGAATGAAACTGGACCATTATCTTACATTATATATAGAAACCAACTCAAAGTCTATTAAATAAACATAATACCTAAAACTATAAAACTGCTAGAAGAAAATATAGAGGGATACTGCTTGACATTTGACTGAGCAATGATTTTGAGACATGACCCCAAAGTACAGGCACTAAAAACAGAAATAGACAAGTAGGATTTCATCAAGGCAAAAAATTTGTGTACAGCAAAGAAAACAATCAACAAAGTAAAAGAACAACCTAAGGAGTGGGAGGAAGAAAATCTTTGCAAGCTCTCCATCCCATAAGGAGTGAATATCTAGAACATATGGTACTCAAATAATTCAATAGCAGAAAACAAATAACCTGAGTTAAAAATGGGCAAAAAATGGTATTGGGAAAATAGGCTAGTGATATGCAGAAAGTTGAAACTGGATCCCTTCCTTACACCTTATTCAAAAATTAACTCAAGATGGATTAAAGATTTAAACGTGAGACCTAACACCATAAAAACTCTACAAGAAAACCTAGGCAATACCATTCAGGACATAGGCATAGGCAAGGACTTCATGACTAAAACACCAAAAGTAATGGCAACAAAAGCTAAAATTGACAAATGGGATCTAGTTAATCTAAAGAGCTTCCTTACAGCAAAAGAAACTATAATTAGAGTGAACCAGCAACCAACAGAATGGGAAAAAAAATGTGCAATCTACACATCTGACAAAGAGCTAATATCCAGAATCTACAAATAACATAATCAAATTTACAAGAAAAAAAAACATCAAAAAGTGGACAAAGGATATGAACAGATACTTTTCAGAAGAAAACATTTATGCAGCCAAAAAACATATGAAAAAAAGCTCATCATCACTGGTCATTAGAAATGCAAATCAAAACTACATTGAGATACCATCTCATACCGGTTAGAATGGTGATCATTAAAAAAATCAAGAGACAACAAATGCTGGAGAGAAGGTGGAGAAATAGGAATGCTTTTACACTGTTGGTGGGAGAGTAAATTGGTTCAACCATTGTAGAAGACAGTGTGGTGATTCCTCAAGGATCTAGAAATAGAAATATTATTTGGTCCAGCAATCTGATTACTGGATATATACCCAAAGGATTGTAAATCATTCTATTATAAAGAATGATTGTTTATTGCAGAACTGTTTACAATGTATGTTTATTTCAGCACTGTTTACAAAAGCAAAAACTTGGAACTAACCCCAATGCCCGTCAATGGTACACTGGATGAAGAAAATGTGGCACATATACACCATGGAATACTATGCAGCTATAAAAAGGATGAGTTAATGTCTTTTGCAGGGACATGGATGAAGCTGGAAACCATCATTCTCAGCAAACTGACACAAGAACAGAAAACCAAACATGACATGTTCTCACTCATAAGTGGGTGTTGAACAATGAGAATACATTGACACAGGGAGGGTAACATCACACACTGAGGCCTGTTTTTGGGTGGGGGCTAGGGGAGGGATAGCATTAGGAGAAATACCTAATGTAGATGATGGGTTGATGGATGCAGCAAACCACTATGGCACATGTATACCTGTGTAAAAAACCTGCACGTTCTGCACATGTAACCCAAAACTTAAGGTGTAATTTAAAAATGGGCAAAAGACTCAGCCATTTCTCCAGATAAGACATATGAAAGGCCAACTGTTATATGAAAAGGTGCTCAACATCACTAATCACCAGGGAAATACAATCGTAACCACAATGAGATATCACTTAACAGATGTTTGGATAACTGTTGTCAAAATGACAAAAGATGTCAAGTATTGAAAAGGTTGTAGAGAAGAAGGAATGCTTCTGTACTGTTGGTGGAAATGTAAGTTGTTACTGCTTTTATGAAAAACAGTATGAAGATTCCTCAAAAAATTAAAATAGAACTATCACATAATCCAGCAATTCTACTTCTGGATATATATCAAAGGAAAGGAATTCAGTATGTCAAAGAGATATCTGCATTTCTGCATTCATAGCAGTATTATTAGCAATAACAAAAGCATAGAAACAACCTAAATATCCGCCTATGGATGAATGGATAAAGAAACTGTAAGATACAGAAATAGACACACACATATAGACACACACACACATATACATACACAGACACACACATACACTCCAATGGAATATCATTCAGCCATATAAAAGAAAATCCTGTCATTTGCAGCAGCATGAATAAATGAGAATGTGTTCCTGGTTCGTTCATGCTAAGTGAAGTAAGCCAGACACAGAAAGATAAATATTGCATAATCTCACTCATATGTAAAATTTTAAAATCATGATCTCATAAAAGCAGCTAGTACAATGGTGGTTTTCAAGTGCTGGGATTTATAGGAAATGAGGAGGCATTTGGATAAATGGTATAAGTTTCTGTTATGCAGGATAAACAAGTTCTGGAGATATAATGTATAGCAATGTGACAAGATTTAACAATACTGTACTATATACTTGAAATTTGCTAACAGAGTACATTTTAAGTGTTCTGAAGATCTACAAAAAAAGTATGTGAAGTGAAGTATATGTTAATTATCCTGATTTTGGTAACAATTTCTCAATATATACATATATCAAAACATTGCATTGTATGCATATATCAAAACATTACATTGTGTATTCAAATTATACAATGTTTATTTTTTCAATTACAACTTGATAAAGCTGGGAGAATTTGTTTTATAGAAAAATAAAACTCTCAAGAAAGTGAAAATACAGCCCCAGAATGGAAGAATATATTTGTAAATCATGTGTTTGATAACAGACTTGTATTCAAAATACATAAACATATTTTTCTCTAAATAAGATATACAAATAAATGCATAACAAGATTCTTAGCACCTTTAGCCATTAGGGGAATGCAATTCAGAATCACAATGAAATCATACTTCATACCCATGGATAGCTAAATAATAATAATAATAAAGATAGCAAGTACAACTGTTGGCAAGTGTATGGGAAAATCCCTCCTACTTCATTGATATGATTATATAATGGTATAGCCACTTTAGAAAACAGTAAGATGCTTTCTTAATCTGTTAAACATAGAATTGCCAAATGACCTAACAGTTCCACTCTTCAGTGTACACCCAATAATATGAAAACTTACTTTCACACAAGAACTTGTGTTCAAGGTACATAGCAGCCTTATTAATAGCCAAAAGTGTAAATAATCCAAATATACATGAACTGATAAATCCATAAAGCTAAGTGTTATGTTTATATGATGGAATATTATTCAGCCTTAACATGTAGTGAAATACTGATCTATTTTACAATATAGATCCACCTTGGAAAATACATGTTTACTGAAGGAAGCGTATCACAAAAGGTCACATATTATATAAATCAATTTATGTGAAATGTTCAGAATAAGCAAATCCATAGAGACAGAAAGTAGATTTGCATTTGTCAGGGGTTAGGAGGATGGAGAATAGGAAATGAGTGCTGATGGGTTTTGGGTTTATTTTTCAGATGAGGAAAATTTCTTAGAATTAGTGGTGTATGTTGAACAATTCTGCTGAGATACTAAGAAAACACATAATTGCATAATTTAAAATTGAGATGTGTAGATATGTTAACTCGCTTGTCTATATTGACCATTTTACTATCTGTACAAAAAAATTTGGGTTGTACACTTAAGTTTATGCAATGTAATTTTTCTAAATAGTAAAATAATGAAAGAACTGAAAGAGCAAATTTTATGGTATGTGATTTATATCTCAATAATAGACACCTAATGAGTAATGAAACTATCAAACATGGAAACAGGGTCTCTGAGTAATTTGCTCACTAGTTACTACAACTTCTCTCTGCCAGGTCATTATGTTATTAGTAGTTATATGGTCCTCATTGTCATTGTTATTTTTGTTGCTAAACAGTTGAAAATCCAGTTACTATGTAAGGATATTGCAACATCACATTATTACCTATATATTTTTACCTTGTTAGCAATGTGTTTGTTTAAAACAATTAGCAATGTGTTTGTTTAAAACAAAGAGCTATCCTATATATATTTGTAGCAGTATTTGAAAGTAAACAATTTTTTTGAATACAAAATAGTCATTATATTAATTATAATAAATTAGAATGATGTTGTTGTTATTACATTCCCAAAGCCCTACAATGTTGGATGATGAAAAGAGACTTTCACTGGGAATTTAGAGTAGGTAGCAAGTCTAAATCTAATTTTGCCTTTTATTAATTGTGTGACCTTAACGTCTCATTTAACTCCCTTTTTATTGGTGACTTCATTTTAAAAAGTCAGAGGTTTATCTCTGAAATTGGTTCAGTTTGCCCTAATTTCTATTTTTTGTGTTACAAGTATAATTAGTATAGAAAAGCCAATTAACCTAAGGAAAATATTTGCCACAGATTTTGATAGGCAGAATTAATATTTTAATTTACCATAAAAGACTAGACACATTATTAAGAAAAGTACTATGGATCAAATTAATTAATATGAAAAGGAAATGAATGTATAATTTACAAAAAACAAATTCAAAACACAAGTCAGGAAGAAAGCAAAAGTGGAAAAAATATTCAGTTACCAAAATGCAAATAAAATAAGATTTAATTTATATATATATATAATATAAAAGGCTTTAAAATTATATCTAATTTAGTTATAGATCAAATGATATACTTAGCTATTATAAAGTAAGTAGCAATAATTTTTGGTCAAGCAGTTTAGCAGTAAGAATTAGGATTTAAAAAATAGTCATAGCCTTCAACCCAGTAATTGTATTTTTTGAAATTCACCTGAAAATATAAACCAAGTTTATGTATACGTTTTAAGATTAAAATAATAATTGAAACATTATTTATAATATTGAAAAATCTAAAACTAATCCACAGGGTCAACAACAAATGAGTATTTAAATAAAGTATGTTGTAGTTATACTGTAAGTAAATAAAAATAAAGGAAATGGTGCCAAAGAAAATATTTCCAGGGACTTCAGATTATTAAATTATCAGCAAGTATAGATGATGAAAGTATGGATAATTATTTATCCATAATATTTTATAGTTTTCTAATTTTCTATGACTGTTCCTTACTGTGGTACACACAGTAAATTTCCTCTCTGAAACCATTTGCCATTTCTTCTCTACTGGCAAAATTTTGAACTTCTTTATAGACAGGCCTCATTCTCAGCATTCATTCAGCAACCTTTGAAAGTAGAGATGACATGAGACGCAGATGTACGTAATAAAAATATAAACAGAAAAAATTGAGTGAAGCTTCCCAAAAATTTCTTTAAAATGGTTTAGTTTTTGTTGGTACCCACCTTTTTTTTCTCTGCCTTTCTCCTTCTTCATCTTTGGAATAAAAATACAATGCTGGAGGTAAAACCACCAACTTGTGACAATGAGAACACAATCTAAACTAAAGCCTGATGCTAAGGGAGGCTTTGCAGAAAGACAGAGGGCATCAGGATTCTTGATATCATTTTGAAGATTGTCCCAGCCCTGAGTCATGTACCTTAATATTGGCAAAAAAATAAAAATAAAAAACTAAATTCCTAACTTGCTTAAGCCATTGGTTCATTATGCATTCTGATACTTGCAGCTAAAAGCAATCTTTAACATTTTAATATATATAAATACATATGTATTTGTATTACATATAAATGCATATATTAATTTATATACTAATTGCATGTACTCGAATTGATGGGGTTGTAATTTTCTACATAATTTCAAATTGCATATGCTGGCATATAAATTTGAAGAGGTATATTTGCAATTATATGTACATACATATGTCATATATGTGAATGAATGGGAATACACTAACTAGACAGATAATTTCCTATTCATTCTTCTAGATATAGCTCAAAGGTACTTTCTCTGTGAAGCATCTTCATCTTGCTTTCTTATAACTTGAATGAACCTCCAATATAGCATACATAATCTTTTTTTTAAATTTTTTTATTGCATTTTAGGTTTTGGGGTACATGTGCAGAACGTGCAAGACAGTTGCATAGGTACACACATGGCAGTGTGTTTTGTTTCCTTTTTCCCCTTCACCCACATTTGTCATTTTTCCCCAGGCTATCCCTCCCCAGCTCCCCCCCCGCTGGCCCTCCCCTTTTCCCCACAAAAACCCCAGTGTTTAGTACTCCCCTCCCTGTGTCCATGTGGTCTCATTTTTCATCACCCTCCGTAATCATTTGTTTATATATCTGCCATGCCACTCCCACTCTTTTTCACTGTCAATATTGGGCTGGGATATTGACTCCATCATCATTTATACACATATAAGAGATGATGTTAGATTAATTCATAAGCAAACATTATAATGATTACTTAAATATTATTTTCATTTTGTTGGTATCTGTTTAATGCTGTAATATTCTCAATTCCTTTTCATTGCCCTATGCGCTATGATGTACTCAACAGGCATTCAGTGATGTCATTAATTAACTGATAATAGTTGCAATACATATACATTAGGGGTTTCTGATATCTGCAAATTACATCTAATAGATGAAACATTTGGCTGGATGTTCATTGATCTATAGTCTAGATTTAAAATATGAGTAGATATTTTCAAATATTTTCATAGAATGCTTTTTCAGGGACTGGACTAATAGCAAATGACCTAGCACACAGATTCTGCAACCAAACTGTGTGGGTACAAACCAAGTTACCACCTTGGTATATTCAAAGAAGTCACTTAATCATTTATATTTTGCATTCCTCAATGGTAAAAATAGGATAATAATATTTTTATTGGGTTTTGTGAGAACTCAAAGAGTTAATGTACACAGAGCTCCCAGAAAAATGTTGAATTATGGAAAGCTCTGAATAAATACTTTCCATAAACAATAGTTTGCAGTCAGCATGCATAAGTAGATCCTAATCTGCTACTTTAAAAATACCTCTCAAGAGTCTGTCTTTCCAGAATGTCTATTATTTTCTTTTCTTCCTTATTGCTTCATTAAATCTGCAGTTAATTAATGTATTTATGTTACAGTCATCTAATTTAAATTCAGAGAATGTGTTGAATGTCCTCACATAGCTTCTCAATAAGAAAATAATAAATAATTCTGTAGACTGAACAAGAATGAATAAGAGTGAGATTGAAATTGCAATCTCAAAATTAGCTTTGTAATGAGGGATCTATAGACTGAAATTCAATCTTTCTCTTTGCTTCAGTTCAGTTAGATGATGTCCCCTTGGAGAATGTGAAGTTTATATATTTTGTATGCATGATTTGTGAAGAAGTCGTTGTTGGGAACTGTTTATGTGACAGTCTTTAGAAAGCTGTGTGATGAAGTTCAGCTCCTGTAAAATTTCACTTCAAAAACAGTTCTTTGGATGCCAGTATTCCATTTTGGAGGTAATCTTTTACTGTCACAAAACATTATGACAATTAAAAACAAGGTTAAGTGTCTCCCTAAGTACAATAAATATTGAATAGAATTATAAATTTATTATGGAAGAGGGGAAAAAAGCAAACAATTTTCTAGCATCCTAAAACAAAACAGCAGTTCTTTCCATAGTTCTAAGTTATACTTTCTGATGTAAAATGAGTAATTATGCACTGCTTTATTGTAATATGTGCATATATACATATATTTATATATTTTTAAATTATATTTAAGGTGTGCATATATACAAAGTATTTTAAATATTTTTTGAAAGCAAAGCTAATTAGATACTAGTACAGTCCTCACATTATCTTAATACTTATTTATTCATTTAGTCATTCATCAAGGATATATTGTGGGCTTATCATGTATTAAGAATAATAGGCTCTAGGGATCTGAATGTAAGAGATAAGGTCCTATACTTCATGATCTTATTATTTAATAAAATATCTTATATTTTAAATGTAGTATGTTTACATGTATTTCTGGATAGATATTATAAAAACATCTTCAAATTTGTTCATACAGTGTGTGGCCTATTCAACCTGACAGTTTATTTTTTCATTATGCAAGTACATTCTGATTACCTAATATAAGCTAAGGACTTCTGGTAATTATTAAGGCTGTTCCCAAGTGTACTTGAGAGAATTACACTTCTCCACCTGCTGCCATATGACTACTTTCTTCAGCCCATGAAATCTGACTGGGAGTCTTAACTCGTGTCACTTCTGAATAAATTTATATATCAAAGTGATTGCAGATGACATGCCATTGGAACCTATATGTGTCTGGTGATTAAGTGATCGTGATGAATAGAGCTCCATTTCACATTTACATTGGCTGTGTAGACTGAGAGGAAAGATACTCTCACTGTGTTAAGCCATAACATGTCAGAGTTGTTTTGTTAATGAGGCATAACCTAGCATATGCTGACTGACATAGCACCATTCTAGGTGCTGAGGATATAATTGTAAGCAAAGCAGATAAAGTACTTGTCCACATGGAATTTATTTTCAAGTGATGAAACTATAACTGAAAAATAATAATAAATTGATATGGGATATGATGATGAATAGCATTAAATGCTATAAAGTTTAGTAAGGATAAATAATCAGGGTGGATGCTATTTTAGATAGAATGCTCAGCAAAGTTATTTCTGGAAAGGTGATACTTAATCAGAGACTTTACTTAAAAGGCAAAACCTTCAGGAACTGCACTAGCAACAGTGTTGCAAAAGGCCTGGCACAGGGGTTCTGAAAATTCAAACTGTATAGTCCTAAGCTCCACCAGTTAGGAGCTCCTCCAAATAATCTGGAGAAATGATGGGGATATACGATAGCTCTGAGAAAAGGGAGTGTGCCCTGCTGCAGTGGACCGAGCAGGGCGAGACCTGTAAGAGATACGTAATCTAAGGTTGTGCGAGTACACAGAACAAGTGATGCCTCGTAGGCCTTGATGTAAGTAAGTAAGAAAAGAAAGTTTTGAACACAAGCATTATGTGATTTGACTTATGATTTTTAAAAATCACTCTGACTTCTTGGTGAACAATAAACCCTAGAAGGTACAGAGTAGAAACTGGCAGACTAGTTAGGATGATATTGCAGTTTTGGGTTGTTGTGATAGCAGTGATACTGTGTCAGTATTAACAACACTTGGAGACTGAGACTGAGCTAATAGGATTTGATCTTATTTTATGATCGTGAGATGGAGGGAGTGGGACAGGAGCCAGAGGAGAGGAGAGAGAGGGAAAGTAGGGATAGATTATGGAGAAGGCATAGAAAAATGTACTTGAAGGGAGGAATGTCAGGATGAAGGCCTGGACCAAAATACAAAGAGAAATAAGATCCCATTTTGAATCCCAGAGCAGATTTTGCCCCAGAGCTATATTAAGAGGTGAATACTCTAACTAGCACAGTTACTCTTTCATGATAATGAGTGTTATCTAGAATTTCATGTAGTGCATGCTATTGGTGACCTGCCTATATGCCTTGATTAATTGTCATTTCTATGCTTGTGGGTGCAAATTCCAGTCAGCTATCACTTTTGCCAGGAGGGCTCTGCAGTAAGGCCTGAAGTAGAAGGTCATTAACTCTCTCTAGGGGAAGCCCTCAAACAATTACAGAAGTTGGTGGATAAATACTCACCTCCCTAAACCTTTGGGCAGATGCTGAAGTGTGAGAT